TCTTTCTCTTTTTCCTTCCTTCCTTCCTTCTTTCTTTCTTTCTTTCTTTCTTTCTTTCTTTCTTTCTTTCTTTCTTTCTTTCTTTCTTTCTCTTTTTTAAAGTTCTCACACAAGGCATTATGTCAGCAGCAAAATTTTAGGGTATTTTACCTGGAATAGAAAAGTTTCTTTGTGGTCATCATTTATGTTTAATAAAACACAAGTCTTTCTTGTCTTATTGAATATGAAGGTGTTTTGGTCTCTTTTTCCTTCTATTTCTAGATGAAAGTTGGGTAGGGTGTTGGTTAGAGGGAAGATTTATCCTTTTCCAGTTCAGTACTCTGCTGCCCAATCATGGAATTATGTAAGATAGAATTATGTTAAATACATTTACAGAAAAATACAAATATAGGGAGATCATTATTTAATAGGATTAAAATGGTGATTGTGATATTTGAAGAATTGTGCTTTTATTTTTACATAATTTTAATGTATTAGTTCATGAACTCAATTTTATATATGTGACTTATTTTTTAGGGGATAAAACAGAAATTATCTTTCTTGAACTGTCTGTTAACCAGTCCAAATATCTAGTATCTTCCAATTCAAGAAAAATATTTTGGATATTTGGAAAAGTCACCTGGGAAATATGAGGATATATACACATATGTATGTGTGTGTGTGTGTATGTATGCATATATGTGTGTGTATATATACATATATACACACACACACACACACACATACAAGCGTAAATATACACACATACACATTTACATGCATATCTCTACCATTAATCAAGCTTTGTATATCTAGGAGCTGAATAAAAAGCCACTGGTCATTTTCATCCTACTTATTTTCATGATATAAGCATTCTTTACAATATAAGGAAGCATCGTATAGTAGAGAGAACACAGAATTGGGAGTGAGGACACCTGAGTTCTAGTCCCAGCTTTATCACTAAGTTTAGCTCTGTGATCATGGACAACCTTTCCTTGGCTTGGGTTTTCTCATACCTAAAATGAGGTTTTGCAAGAGAAGATTTCTAAGTTTCCTTCTAGCTTGATGATTCTAGCGGAGTATTTAATTGACATCTAAGATGATGACTATTATTAATAGAATTTTAGGATTGAGGGAGACATTAGAGATTGATCGGACTCATTGTACAGATAAGGAAACAGACCCAGAGGAGAGTAATAGTGACCTACCTCAGGTCACACAGTTAATTGGTGGTTCAGACAGAACTAGAGTCCAAGTCTCCTGAATCCTAGCCCCATGATCTTTCTACTATATCATAGATTCCTTAGTTATAAAAACTTAAAATAATATTTTTGACTTAGCAATGTTAGACATTTTTCTATTTTATTATGTGATGATGTTTGTTGGGTTATTATTCATCATAATTTGGAACTTTACTATAAGTTCCCATTAAGAATTTAATAAAAAATTCTGTAAAGTAAAAAAGCTAAAGAAACAATGAGACAGCAACGTAGAATTTGGTATCAGTCAGCAGAATCTTCAAACTCTAGTTGGTTACTATGATATTCCAATCTGTATTTATTACAACCCTACTCTGATACTTACATAACCAAAATTGCTAGATTTATATTCACTAATGGTTGCACAATGGGAAAAACCTGTGGTTTTTTTTTAATCTTTCTTTTCCTGTCCCAAATAACCCTTCCATATACATTCCCTGTTTCTCTGGGAAACCTTGTCTGGGTTTAATCAAAGGTTGCGAGACAAAATGAGCATTATTAAGAAATATAAATATTTTCAGAAGCAATCAAAGGGATGAAAGATTGATTCGGCATGTAGATTGGACCTAATTCAAAGCAGCTTCGTTCTAATGAGGACTACTGGGATACAAAGACAGAAGCTGCTTGTGACCACCAGTTGGAAATTCCAACTTACAATAACCTGTCAGAATTTCTTTTCTTAGGTATTTCAGAAAGCAGCCACTGGTGTGAATTTTAGCAAGTTTTCTACCTTATTCTCTAGCAGCAGGGCTGATCTCACCTACCTCTTTACCCCTGGGAATTTTGAACAATTGTCCTTGATAAATTATTATTAATTCCACCTCTTATTTAGAGGTTGAGTCAGCGAATACCTGCTTTCTTACAGTTCCAGAGTTGGCATAGCATTCACTTTCCAAAGAACATTTTGGCCTGAAGGCATCTGTATTACAATTTATTTCTTGGCCTAATGAAAGGTATTGCATTATCTTCCTGGTCAATCTACATTGGCTTTCCTAACCAGAAACATAGAAAGCGTAATAAGCATCATTAGAATATATGTTTTAAAAACAAACAAAGGGTTGTCTCATTTAGGATGTGCTTTGAAACTTCCTGGCAAAGCTCATTGGCCCTTGCATGGAGACAGGTATCATCTACTTTGGATTGATGCAATATAGGGAAGCTTTGATAAAATGCTGGATGTATGGTTAGAATTTTAATATAGACAGGATCAAACCCTGACCATGGTGTTTTTCTTTTTTTTATCCCGCTTTTTGTCCATGCAGGCATGTAAGAGAGATGGTTTGATTTTTCTGAAATGGTTCACCCATCCACAGCTGGAATTCCAAAGTGAAATGAAAATGCCTTTAAAATCAACACTACACGGGAGCCTGAGAGAACAAGTTTTCCTTTGTTGTAGGGTATAGTATTATTTGCTGTAGGTTTTTGATATACATTCTAAATTAGGCCTGCAAAGGCATGCTTCATCTTTAATTCATCACTCTCAGCTGAAAGAGATTAGCAATGTCTAGCACGCACCCCTCGTATGGTGCTGACCTCATCAAGTATGGCCTGAAATTAATTAGCCTCATTCATTCCAAATGGAAAAGGATAATGGAGCAGCATTTTAGAGATGACCATCACAAATTGTATGCAGCATATTTAAAAGGCCTCTATTTTCAAACCATGTAGATTAAAATTCTTTCTAGGGCTTGCAATATGTCAGAGTTATAAAGGCACTCACAGAAGAAACTAGTCAGTGTTTATTCCTTTCCTAAAGAATTAAAAGTTACATGCAAGTGTGCATGTGTATTTAAGTGCCTGAAAACAGGTTTCCTTAATGAAAGAACACCTGGAAAGTGCTATGCCACACTTGATCATCAAAAGACTGAAGCTTAATAATGAATTAAATGATCTAATAAAAGGCTTCTTAAAAGTGGTATTATTTGGTCCTCAGCAAAGGCAGAAACTACCAGAACAAACTTGGCTGCTGTTTTTAAGTCCTATATCATTCATAATTGAATTAGGAAAGAAAAAACACACTCTTTTTTATAGAAAAAGGAAATCTTACTTGTTGTATTTTGTGGCTGTAAATTGTGAGTATTATTTTTAAGATTCCAGCTTGGTTATATCCTTTAACTTTCTATGTCCTTTCCCAGCTAATACAGTAGAACCATATTTTTAAACCCTGCTGATGATTCTGTTATATTACTCAACCATTTACATCTACAATCTTTCTAAGATTAGCTGGATTTTTTCCTCTGGGGATAAAACAAGAAGGGCCAGTGGTTCTAAATATCAAATCTGCTTTCTTTTATGGCCAAATTTTTTTTTTGACTAGGGTTTTCAGTGTTGTTGTAAAATTTATTTTTATGAGCAATGGTTTTGTGACTACAAGTTGGAAGGAAAAAAATATCACTTTTTCAGATTTTGATTTTTCAATTAATAAGATGGAACACAGTCCCTTTTAGAAGCTCTTTTCCTTCAGTATGATTATGAATTAAATCTAGTGTCTATATCCAAAGGAAAAGAAAATCATCTGCCGTCCCAGAAAGATTAGTTTAATCACGTGAAAAATATAGACACAACAAATGAATGGTACCTTAATCTCATAGCTATGATAAGTATGAGTAAAGAATTGATGAATTTAGATCAGCAATAACTATTTGCTTATTGTATCTACCTGTATTTTAGTTGTCAATATTATTTCAAGATTTTAAATATAACTCTATATGAAAACATATTCATATCTGCAGAAACATGGGCTTTAGCAACTTATTTAAACTAACTTCAGCTTAATCTTCCTTTGCCATTAGTTCCCTTAATTTAATGTTCATGTATCATTACATCAGGTATGACTTGCAAAGCTATCATTTTGGTGTCTAGAGACCCATTTTTAGGTCTTTTAGAGGTTATATAAAATATTTTGAGGAAATTAAGTAACTCTAAAATTTGGACCATGGATTTCTAGCTGAGGAAATACATATTTAGTGAAACTTAAAAAAATCCACAAAGTTACATTTAAACTAGATCAATGGAGAAAAAGAAACTACAGAGTTGATCTACAAAGAGGGCAAAATTACCTGCTGATCATCATTTAATTAATCCAATATTCAACATTCATGTAATAAAGTCATAAATGCTTGGGAAAATTCTGGTAAGATTGCTTTTGCTTGTGCCATTTTACAGAGGTCAGAGGCTATTGATGATATTTTTTGGTATTAACTCAGTGGTACAAATCTATACAAGCATCAAAGTATTAATATTATTATGAATCAAAACAATGTAGTAGTTGTAGTAGATAGACTTTGCTACCAAACTGGGATGCCAAAATTTATTTTAAAAATTCCTTATCTATGAGATGAAAATGGCAGCATAACCATAAATTAAAGGATTAGAGCTGTATGAAATCTGAGCTCATTCAAACCATGAACTCAAAGCAAGACTTAGATGAACTTACCAAATTTCATTTGGTGTCCACCTGAGACTATAAATTCTCCCCTGGCACTTGAATGGAGGAAGAACATTCACCTAAAATTCAAACCAGATTTCTTTAAACCTAACTCAGACTCCCTAACTTTAGGATGAACCACTCATTGAATTTTGAATTCGTAATAAAACTTTCATGCATCATTAGCCAATGGTGAATGAATGATGGTTTGGTGGGAGATGTAGAAAAGGCAATCCCTGGAATTGCTGTTCTGTCTCCTCTTATTTCATAGTTCCAATAATAATCTGGAAAAGGAGATATATAGCAAATTAATTAATTCAACTGGGCAGCTAAATGGAAAGATATAGTATACATTAAAAACAGGAAATAATGTAAGTAGACTTTGATAGTGAACTGTACAAATTAAGGATAGTTTCATACAACATAAAGGCAGATTGCAACATGTGGAGTAAGGCGGAGGGAATGCATTGCTATGCAGACATTGAATCTGCCGAAACACCCTTAGGAAACAGTCATTTTGTCAGGAATCTCAGGATGATAGATAATTCCTTGAAATCCAATATGACAACAACCAAAAAATCAGTAACCCAGTTCTTGTCCTCAAGGAGTTTCATTGAAGGATGGGGTGGGGTGGATAAACCAATTGCATAAACCACTATAGTATAACATATGTTATAACAAAGGTCATGAGAGGGAAAAAAAGTTCGATGGAGGGTTAAAAGGAAGAAGAGATCATATGCAGTTCACAGATCAGGAAAGATTTTGTGGATAATAATGATCATATGTAAAACATATAATAGTGATAAGAACTAGTATTTATATAGCACTTTTAATAGATATTTTATAGATGAAGAACCCGAGTCAAACAAAGGTCAAATGGCTTGTCCAGAGTCACATAGCTAGAAAATTCCTGAAGCCAAATTTGAACTCACGTCTTCATCATACCATATCTAGCCCTCTATCTACTGCACCACCAGCTGATTCTAATAATATAAAATAACATCTGTGTCTTATAGGTTGAGAAGCTGGAAGATAGGGTATACTTAGGAACAGTATCATGGTTTAATGGTTAAAGTATTGGATTTTTGAATCAGCATTATGTGGTTTTATATTTTGCCTCTGATATATTAGCTATGTAACCATAGGGCATTCATTTAACTTCTCCATGCTTCAATTTCCTTATCTGTTTGTTTGTTTGTTTGTTTTAGGCAATTGGGGTTAAGTGACCTGCCCAGTGTCACACGGCTAGTAAGTGTCAAATGTTTGGTCTGAGGCTAGTTTGAACTCAGGTACTCCTGACTTCAGGGCCTGTGCTCTATCCACTGCACCACATTGCTGCCCCTATCAGTTTCCTTATCTGTAAAATCAAAATATTAATGTCTGTCATATCTACTTCATTGGATTGTTGTGAGGATCAAACCAGATAATGTACTAGTCATTTGTAAACTCTAAAATTGTATACACATACACGTTATATACATAAATATATGCCAGTTATTATTACATAATTTGCCAGTGCCATCATATGAACAGAGTTTTGAAAGATCAGATTTTAATTCAGTCTTTCCAGGTAATAGAGACAGTATGAGCAAAGATGCAGATGTGAGACTATGTAGAGCACATTCAGGTGACAGTAAGCTATCTATTTGATTTGAAGAGCATTAATGTAGTGGAGGAGTGGGTGATAGGGTAAAACTATAGGTTGGCATGATACAGTGGAGGGCCTTGAATGTCAGACTGAGGAAAGTATATTTCATTTGGTTAGCAATAGGAAGTTTTAATTTAAAAATTTTTAACTTGAGTTGATTTTTGAGGGAAGGGAAAAAAGCATTGATATAGTACTATTATTTGCCAGGCACTCTGCTGAGCACTCTATAAATATGTAATTTGATTCTCACAAAAAACCTACAAGGTAGGTGCCGTTATTATCCTCATTTTACATTTGAGGAAACTAAGGCAAACAGAGGTTAAGTGACTAGCCTAGGGCCACACACCTAGTCAGTGTCTAAGCTGGATTTGAAATTAGGTCTTCTTAGCACTAGGCCTGGGTGCTCTATGTACTGTACCACCTCGATGCCCTAATAACATAATCAGAGTTGTAAATTGGGAATGTGTCAAATGGATAAAAGGGGGGAAAGATGTAAAATGCAAGGAAATGGGAAGAAAATTTTAGAAAGTAAGTGAACACTGTTAGGTTCTTACATAATCTTTTAAGACTCCTAATGGACTTGTTTTGTTGAGATGGTAAAATCAGAGAACAAACATTGACTGTCCCACTTTCTTTTACCTCTTACATTGGTTTGGCCACTCCCTGAAGGCAGAAACTGTCTTAACTTTCAATCCTAAATCTCACCTAAAACATTATTTTCCTTTAATGTTTAATAAATATTTGTTGAATTGAACTGAACAGAGATAGTTTCTTTAAGGGAATAGATGGGCAATTCTTTTTGCATGTCCATGATGAAATTTTATTTGAAAGTCTATATTTAAAAATGGGATGTTGTAATGCCAGAAGGATATAGGCCAACTGAATGGAATTCAAAGAAGAACCACAAATGTGACAAAAAACATTTTAGAGATTGACTTATAAGTGAAGATTAAAAGAACTAAACATGCAGAGCTTGACTAAGCAATAATTAATGGAGAACTTGATAACATTCTACAAATATTTAAAGGAGGGAGGAAGGAGTAAAAGAATAACATGAGAATATAAGCAGAGGTAATTGGAAGAAATATAAACGAAAGTAAGTGAACTCTATTAGGCTGCGAATTAATTTTCTAAGGCCCATAATGGAAACCCCATTTTCTTTATTAAATCCCCAACCAGAGAAATCACAAGGAAAAAAAAAAACAAATGAACTATCCTATATTAATTCAGAAAGCGAGATCATATATTAATAAACCTGACAACATTTTCCACAATTAAACTTTCTTATAACTTTACTCAAAGCCTGATAGCGTGGCATACCTGCACCCCACACACATGCACACACACACACACAGATACATACACATCCTAAACTGGATTTATTTTTACACAAAATAGAATGAAGTGAATTTATCTGATTGTGATCTACTGTTACCCAAACATGGTACTGGAATTAGACATAGCAACACTCACTAGGATCTGAGTCATCCTGTGATAATTGGTCAGTCTGCTCACTTCTTACAGCAACTGTATATGGGAAGTAAATACCCAGCAGTCAGAAATGATGTCAATACAAATGATAGATAGATTGATGAGCATTCTAAAACTTCATGGGACCTTTGAAAACTATCCCAGACCCCATGTATTTACAGGCCCCCAAATGAAATCACCTGGTTGTTTATTGCAGCATTAGTACTGATGAAAGACTGAGTTATACTCCATAGGTTAGGCCCTGCCCCTCCCCCCCAAAAAGTTCCATGTTCTTTATAAAAGAATTGTAAAGGATATAATCTGAAAGTAACAAACAACATTTGGGACCAATTACCCACATGAGATGTGTTTGTAGGAGAAGAAAAGGGTGAGAGGGGAAGCAATGTTATGTTTGTGCTTTATAGACAAGAGGAGCTTAAGATTGCACATTTTTAAAGTTTTAACACAGCGTCACATACTCCTTTCACACCTATGTCTTCATACACATTTATCATACTAAATTATACTATACTATTATATTATATTGTATTAGATTATAAATTATACTATTATTATTATATTATATTAACCCAGCATCACATACTCCCTTTACACCTATGTTTTAATACACATTTATTATATTAAATTACACTATATTAAATTATGTATTGTATTAAAATATACATTTATGAATTTCCCTAAAAGGAAGAATACTGCCATAGCTTGTACTAAAAATCCAAGACCTGGAGAAAACTATTTGTTGTCATATATCAACAACGTCACACACCACAGCACACACCACAGACACAGAGAAATCACGGCTTTTATGATGGGAAAAATGACTTTTTCTGGATAGCTGATAACTATGTATGATACACCAAGATTTGGGTTTTCAACTGTGGAGCCTAAGGAAAATTATCTACACAAAAGAATTTAGAAAATGAAAGGAGTCACTCCCATTATCTTGTTTAATTAACAAAAACACTCCCATTGAACTCCGTTTTTATCATGGTATTATGGATTAACTAATAACTAATGGTTGACAATGAAGCTGCTACTATGAATGCTGCTGCTGAGAATAGTTAGAGATTGGTTGTGATGAATATTGTTATTGTGGACAAGAAGTAACTTGTAGGATCTTTGGTTGCAGCTCAAAGATTGATGGGGGGGGTTGGTTGAGGTAGTTTGAAATTGGGATTTAGGTTCCCTACTCCCCAAGACTTGCCGGCCTCTCCTGTGGTTCATGGTAAGAATTTCAGTCACTTTTTAAACCATTTGTCTTTTTAATACATTTCTGATGCTGACAGTCTGACTTTGAGGGAAATGTCATATGGGTCAGGCTATAAGAATGGAAATGGGGTTATTTCTGACCTTCATTGATTTTTAAAAAAGACGCTGCCTTTTGATACTTAATGAAATAAATTAAAATATGTATATGAAAGAAAAAAAGAAGACACTGGTTTTTTAAAAACCAGTAATCATTATCCATCTATGTTCAGATGATTATGATGGTGATGATGTCGCTGATGCTGATGATGCTAGCCATCATTCAGGTGGCATTTTAAGGTTTGCGAAGTATTTTACATCCATTATCAAATTTGTGCCTTTTAACAGGTAATACCTTAAAGCAAGTATTATTATCCCTCTTTTACAGATGAGAAAACTGAAGAGAAGTTAAGTGGCTGGCTCAAGGTCACACAGCTAGGAAATATTGGATTGAAACCCAAGTCTTTTCTTACTCCAGATCCAACCCTGCTACATGCTGCCCACAAATTTAACCACTTCAGGACCTCTTTGAAATCATCTGATTTGAACTAACTATAGGTAACAGAAGAGTTTTTTATGGGGGGGGGAGGAAAGGATCTAGTAGGTACTGTAATTTATTTTTTTTTATTTTTAAGCTTTATCTTTCTTTTTTCCTCCACTTAATATTAGTATTTTATCTTTTCCAGTTATTTGCAAAGATAGTTTTCAACATTCATTATTACAAGATTTTGAGTTCCAAATTTTCTCCTCCTTCCCTCTCTCTTCTTCACCCTCCCCAAGACAGCATGCAATCTGATATAGGCTATAAACGTACTATCATATTAAATCTATTTCTACATTAGTCATACTGAGAAAGAAGAAGCAGAACAAAGGGAAAAACCACGAGATAGAAAGAAAAAAAAACAAAAAAAAGAGAGAGAAATTAGTATGCTTCAATCTGCATTCAGACTCCACAGTTCTTTCTCTTGATGTGGACAGCATTTTCCACAGTATAGGTGCTCTTTAAATGGAATGTTTGAAAACCATATCGAGGTATAGTCATCAAATTAAAATGAAAAGCATTCAAATCCATAACCATGTATAAAGTATCCATGGTATGCAGGGCAGGCCTATTCTAGGTGCTGGGGTGGAATGCAACATTTAGATAAGATATGGTTACTATCTTTAGAGAGCTTGTAGTCTGTGAAGAGAAGACACCAATACAGGTAGGTATGATAAAAAAAAATGTTACAACATGGTGCTATGTGAATCTGAGGAGGAAGATCACATTCATTATCAATGGGTAATTAAGAATTACTTATTTGATCTATGGACTTGTTGAATCTTAGACTGGGCTTTTTGAATCTTAGACTCCCAGAATCTTAGAGCCTGAAAGTGAACTTAGAAGTCATCTGGTATAGCATAATGTATCCTATCAGTACCAAACAACTCCAGACCTTTTTAGACCTTTTAAGTATCCAAATGCTTTTTTTAAATCATAATTAAAAAGATAGAAAAATAAATCAATAAAACAGATGAGGATTTTCTTTAACCCTACACAAACACTGAGAATTAACTAGCATATACTATATAAGCTAAATATAATATAGTGACGACCCGGCTTTATCTCACGTTTCCAAAATATATAAAAATAATTGCCTTGTACAAACACAGAATTAACTAGCATATGGTATTAAACTACAGGCTAAATGTTATATAGTGACTATAGAAAGTAATGACCTGAGAACTAGATCTATTTTATAAAATAAGGATGGGATCACCCTAATATGTGGCAGCTTTCATTGTTAGTAAGTTCTTTCTCAAACTGAGCCCAACAACTTTCTACACTGGTCCTAGTACTGCCTTCAGCAGCAATGTGGAATAAATTGAACCCCCTCTTCTAGGTGACAGCCCTTCGAAAGTTATCATGTTTCCCTCTGAGGCTGGTTCTTTTCCAAGCTAAAAATCTCTAGTTCCTTCCACCATTCTTTACCTTATATGCTTTTCAGACTCTTCAATATCACTGTGTTAGTTTTGGGCCCTCATTCTACATTTTTGAGGTATTTTTGAATCTTTAGCCTGTCATCCAACTTTGTGCAAAATTGATAAGCATGCCTTTCTGTCTTCATTCAAAGTTTGATAAAAATGTCAGACAGGATTGATTCTTTTACAATTTTCGATAGCAATAGGATCAAATAATATAGGCATTATACAACTGCACAAAATAGAAAAAAGGTATATGTGGAAGGCGCAATATCCTAACCCAAGCCCCCACGTAAGTTAGGCTAGATTTTCCTTAAAAGGAATCAAAACTATCCTTAAGGTTTGATTGGCTCACGGGACTAAAGGCTGAGGCTATTGACATCACTTCCTTGTTGCCTGAATATAAAAGAGCCAGGAGGAGCTACAGTCCTTCTCTGCTGCTTGGCTGGTGGAAAACAATGGGCAACTCAGGCAAGGGAGTTTCACTCAGCTGAATCAACCTGACATGTCCTCAATGCCTATCTTTGTTGAATATCCTTTACCTACCATGGTTAAGTAAATTTCCTTTTGTTAGCTGTTGAATGACCTACAAGTGCCTCATTTTATTCCAGTATTGAACATAAACTATCAGGGGACTGGTATAAGTGAGACCCAGCCTAGAAGAATACGACATCCATTTGATTTGATTACAATATTATTATGGATGAAATTATATATATATGTATATATATACACACACACACATACATGTGTATATATACATATATATATATATATACACACACACACATATATGTGTATATATACATATATATATATATATATATGACAGTCATGGACAGCTTTTATTTTATTGTAATGGATAAAATGCTAGACTTGAAATAAGACAGGGCTTGGGTTCAAATCCCATCTCTGCCATTTATCAGTTATATAATCACATGTAATTCACTTAATCTTTTTTGAGATTCAGTTTCATCTGTAAAATGAAGATGTAAGGGTCAATGAAATTATGTAAAGTGCTTTATAAACTTTATAGCGCTATTAAATACATAAAGTGCTAAATCAATGTCACACAGTAATCTACACAATTCTTTCTTTCAAGGATAAAATTTGAAACCATTTTTATCTCTTTATGTGTAACTATCAGGCCAATATGGAGGTCCTTGGAAATTAAACACTTAACCATCTCTTCAAACTACCAAATTTAGCTTAGTTTGGTATTTTGTCTCAACCTGAGAGATGATGCTTTTATCAACTGGACCAAACTAGCCTCTAACCTACGAATGGCCAGAGTCAAATAGAGCAGGCTAGAGGTAGGAGAGTCAGGAATCAAACAGAAGTTTAATTTCAAATGAGGGAAATGGCTTTCAAGCAAGGAGACAAATTAGAAACATGTGTTGGGACCCTGTCCCTGGTGGGGGGACCCACTTTAGTGTGGCTAAACCCCAATATATACACCAATGGTTATGCAGTGAGCTATAGCCCCAACAATGAAGGGTAACAGCAACAATGTGACAAGTTTGATTTATCGTGAAGTGAGCTTCATGAGCAGAACCTGTCTGAGCTTGTTGGGTGCTTGTCCAAATCAGAAACACCTTGTGCTAGCCAAACCAATGGAATAACCATGTGAAACAATTCTAGAATTTTGCTGTGGCTGAGCTCACCCAGAGGGTGAGCTCAAAGGATTGTTGTTATGGCAAGCTCAGGGCACAGTCTGCTTGCTGGGCCTTAGCTCTGGAAAACAAGGAATCTCCTAATAGTATCTTGACAATTTCTATCATAAATATGGAAGCCTGATTGAAGCAGGCTAGCTTTGCTGAGTCAGACTTTGGCAATGTTGTTTTATTTATTGTTCAGTGTTCTTAATTCTTACACTATCAAGAATGCAAAAATTTAAATATAAGAATAAAAGTAAATATAAATTGCTTTTTGATGATCTTCCATTTGGAATGATGGTCATCTCTGGTCAACTCCATTAGCATTGTTAATTGAGAGGTGACAATGCAGGTCTAATTTGGAGTTAAGACTAGTATAAAGCTCTTTTTGCTTGGATTGAGAACAGGAGATAAAGTTCTAAGTTGAAAATATGAATCTATAAACAGATGCAATCATTGGAATTTAATTCCACATTACATTTTCTTAATTTCATTGATCATCCCTCTTATTTTCTCTATTAAATGTAATTTTGTTAGTTGGGCCTCTTTTTTAGTCTAAGAAATTATTTGAAGTATCCACCCCCCTAATCTGATACGGGAAAGCTTGAAGAAATAACTTCAACCATATCTGTGTTTTTTCTTTGTATATTTTTAAATAGAAGACTTCGAAGGGAATGCCTACTGCTAGACATGGGAGGAGCCATTTCATGAGAGAGGGATAAGTGGTAATATAATAGTGGGGTGTGTGTGTGTGTGTGTGTGCGTGTGTGTATGTGAAAGGATAATGCTTGAGACAGCAATAGACCTGAATAAAGGAGCGTAGTTAGTCATTTGAAATTCGTACATAGACTGCCCTATCCATTACCTGTCTCCCATATTATACCCATAATCTCCCAAGGCAGATATGTTATTACACTCAGTGGGCCAAGTTCAGCCCCCGCTTATATACGCACAACTCCCACTGACTTTGTGCCACTGAGGCACTTCAATGGGAATTGTCTGAACATAAATTTAGTATACTATAGTCACAACCACAGCAGGTGTAGTTAAACAGAGAGACCTGGCTGTATGTTAAAAGGTTGAGGAAGAACAAAAAAAGCTGCCAGTTTCCACAAGCAATCTGATCCCTGGAGCATTCAGGATTGTACACTGATACACACATTGTTTTTCAATCTTTGCCCACAACCAGCATAATACTGTGCTAGGACTTAGGAACAACTTAGACAAAGATCTGTAGCAAGGCATAAAGCTATAATAGGTATTCAACAACATTTTTTCTTTGTATGAGAAATTCCCCTGTAATTATCCTTGGTACTTAAAAAAAAAACCAAGATGAAGCATGTGACGGAGGAGAGTTGAAACTAGTGAATATTTTAATATACTTTTTAAAAAAGGCAATAAAAGAGTGAAGTTCTAACAAGCTAAATAAGCACCATATGGAGATTCCAGAGTTTTAAGATATGTTAATAATATTACATAGTAATTACATATATTATAATAATTATTTTGATTTGAGTAGCAGGATATATACTTACCAATTCACATATCTGAAAACATTATTATATTGAATTTAAAAAAAGAGTTTATAAGGAATCTTGAAGGTGATATACTAAAAATTATTTGTAAATTACCTCTTCAAATTCTTATTCATGTTATTTTCATAAATCTTTTGTGGAGGATCTTCCTAATTAATTAGATGCCTTCCTCTCTTATTCTCATTCTTTTAATATGAGTGTTACTAACACACTCGTGTCTCTCATTTTTGCAAAATGACTAGTCTACTTCCTTTTCCCACTAAATAAGCATTTTTCAACCACTTTTTAAAGTCTATGTATAGGAATAGGCCTCATTGAACATTAGGGGTGGGTGACCCTTGACTCTCAAAGGCTATGACGATTGAGAACAAGCACTGGTTGATCTTATCAAATTGGTAAGTCTTCACTTGTGAGGATGGTGATAATGAATTTTCTGGATGATAGTTTTCATAACAGAGCTATGCAAACACAGCTTCCGTCCAATCACTCGAGAATGTGCTAGAACCAGATTAAAATGTAATTGGGAAATATTTGAGAAAATAAATAAACATACAATGAAACATAAATAATATTAATATGTGATTTTTCTAAGTCAATACACAGCTTTCAGGGACCTTTATATACAGTTTAGTGGCCCCACTTTTTGTTGGAGTTTGACATGACTGTTTAACATCACTTCTTACAGATTAGGTATTGTTGGTAATTGCTAAAGCCTACTTATGGTCATAGTTTACTGACACCTGCTAAAGCCTACTTGTGGGCATTGTTTGTCTTTCTATTGCCCTTTGGGTTATCACTGTGGCTATGCAGAGGTCATTGTGTTTCTGAATTCAAACCCATATGGCATCATCAGAAGAATAGTGGTGTTAAATAGTTTGGATTTTGCATTCTTGAGGAGTTTGGGATTAAGAAAAGTATTGTGTGCTTTCTCATATGTGATCCAGCTTTATCTCTTTTTACTCAATTCCTTGTCCAGCTCCTTGTTTACCTGTCACTTATGTCTGGTATGTATATGTACCTCTCTTTCTGGGCTCACTTTCCCAACTCTAGTAGGTTGGGTCCTCACAGGCAATTGAATTCTCCCCTTAGGGCTCAAGGGGTGACCCTGAGGGTTATGGTTTCTCATTTTAAGTTGCCATACATAAAATAATGTAGGATTGGATTCATTTTTGCCATGGTCACCTGCCTGTAACAAACAAAGGATGACTCACTTCCACTTCAGCAAGAAGAATCTTGTTGTCCCTTGTGGGAATTCCTATAAAGTTAATTTCTGGGTATGGCCTAGCTGGACTAGTTCTTTGCATGTCACATGTCTGCTTTCAGCTCAGTCCACTATTCATTTGGGTCAGTCATGTACTGTCCTCCTCAGGGAGGAACTGTTTACCAGACTCAGATAATGCTGATAGATCCTGAGATATTGAATAGCTATTGAGAATCTTTAATAGCTCCTTTGAGCTTTTGAAGCCCACATGATTGTAAACTTGTCCATTCTATCTAAAGATACACATTCACCTAATATTAGAACAAACATAAATGAAACAAAAGAAACAGAGGCACCACATGATTGCAGGCACATGATAAATGTGGGAGATAGGTCTCACTGCCCCTCCCCAGTTTGACAGCTCACAGTAATACCCCTCATTCTGAAAGGGAAGAGTACCAAAAAGGCCAAGGGGAATACATAACCTTCCTATGACATTTGAACTCAATCTTGACTTTGTCAGTTCTCATGTATCTAAAGCCAACCGGGAAACTGGTCACCACACAACATCAGCCATCTGTCACTCATGGCTAGAAGAAATTTCCCCAAAACATCATGTATTATATTGAAACCAAAAAGGTAATATGATGTACTAATCCCAAAGGCTGCCTGTCCAACGGCATGCTAAAATATGTATAATTTGCATTTTAGTTCATTTAAGTTTATCTTACACAAGATTCATCATGGTGGAGTGGCAGCCCTGGGTTCTCAATGACTATATGAAAGTTCTGGTGGTTTCTACTGATTGGGAAAGTCTCTGAATGTAGGCTTGGTTATAGATTCTATGTCTGCCATCCATAGACCTTCCCATAATATGTTATCTTCCCTGATTAGAATGTAAGCCCCTTGAAAGTAAGGAACACACTGCTTTTTCTTTTTCTATCCTCAGTGCTTATCATAATGCCCTACATAGAATAAACATTTAATAAACATTTTTTCTTTCATTAATTCATTACTCACTAAGTTGACAAAATGGTAATACAATGTTTGGCTATAGCAGCTTTTAAAACTACGTGCTAAAAGCTGTATTAATAATGGCTCTCTCTTGCTCTCTCTCTCATACACACACACACACACACACACACACACACATATATATGTAACACATATCACATTATATACACATACATTAGTTTAAGATTTTCTACACATATAACTCATCAGTCAGTAATAACAACCTTATGCGGTAGGGTTATTATCCGATTTTGCATGAGAATTTATGTGAGTAGCTGAAGGTAACAGAACTATAAGCATGGGAGGTGAAATTTGAACCCAGGGTTTCCCCAACTCCAAGTTCAGCTCTCTAATCATTTATTACATGCAACTCTGTGGTTGAGAGGAGCTGTGATCTACACTAGTAAAATGGGAAGGAGTATCCACACTAATGAAATCATAGACTCTACAAGTAATGAAGCACCATTATTAAGTATGGATGGTTAGATGGATTTCTTTTGGATTACTGTAGATTTCATGAATGAGGGTACCAAGTAATCCACAATGTTCATTAAATATTTATATTGGAAACCAAGTAGAATTAATATTAAGATGTTAAAAATTCATTCATCTCTTCAGATTACTTCCACATGCTCTGTATATATCTTGTATGCAACATAGATATTTACATATTCTCTTTTTTTCTTTTCTTCTTCTTCTTTTTTTTTTTGGCCTTTCTCTGTTTAGTTGTTTTTCAGTTGTGTCTGACTCTTTGTGACCCCATTTGGGGTTTTCTTGGCAAAGATACTGGAGTGATTTGCCATTTCCTTCTCCAGCTCGTTTTATAGATAAGAAAACAGAGGGAAACAAGTTTAAGTGATTTGCCCAGGATCATACAGCTACTAAGTGTCTGAGGCTGGATTTGAACTCGAGTCTTTCTGATTCCAGACCCAGTCCTCATCTACTGCACCAGCCAGCTGGCCTTCTGTTGTACCCCAAATGCTTAGCACAGTGCCTATCATACAGTAAGTACACTTAATAAATTATTATTTACTGATTGACTGGATCATATTGACTGACAAACCAGTGACACATTGGTTTTAGGCAAAGGAAGTGGGACTTGTGATTCCATTGGTATAGCCAACTCTCTTTCCATTTACCAATGAAAACCAGCATGTTCTCTTCAACTTAGTGTCTGAAAGAGTTGCTTAGCATGCTAAGACTTGCCCAGGATTAGGCAACAGTATGTGTCACAGTCAGGAGTTGAACGCAGGCTTTCTCACTCCAATCTTTATGCCCATTTCACTATAGTTTACTGCCACTCAGTTTACAATGTACAGACTAGAATATTTTTTAAAAATAAATATTATATTTTTAAAAACTATATCACTCTAAAAGATTTTTTGCTATATTTCTTTGAAAAAAGACAGCAATGGTTTGGGTTTTAAAAATATTGCTTTCTTGAAAATAGGTTACAACATAGCAAATATGAATAATTCAATTAAGTACGGACTTCCCATCACAAAATATGGCTTTAGAACTTTCAAGTCACATTATCTGCTTTTGGTAGCTATAATTTATTGAATTCAATGAAAGTAGGTGTTTTAACTAATATCAAAATAAAAAGATGCCTGTGAAAGGTAATTAATTCAGAAATTTCAGAAATCTTTATTTTAGAGGAGATAGACAGATAGATAAATAGATAGAGAGAGAGGGAGGGAGGGGGAGAGAGAGAGAGAGAGAGAGAGAGAGAGAGAGAGAGAGAGAGGGAGGGAGAGAGAGAGAGAGAGAGAGAGAGAGAGAGAGAGAGAGAGAGAGAGAGAGAGAGAGAGAGAGATGTTGCAGACGCCCTGATTCTTTGTGCAATACAAATTGTTATAAACAGGAAGAAAATGTGATTAATCCCAACAAAAGAAGAAAAGAAAAGAAAAGGAGAGAGAGAGAGAGAGAGAGAGATGTTGCAGACTCCCTGATTCCTTGTGCAATACAAATTGTTATAAACAGGAAGAAAATGTGATTAATCCCAACAAAAGAAGAAAAGAAAAGAAAAGGAGAGAGAGAGAGAGAGAGAGAGAGAGAGAGAGAGAGAGAGAGAGAGAGAGAGAGAGAGAGAGAGAGAAGCCCTGTATAGAGAGGCAGTTAAGTTTAGAGAAAGGATCCAAATCATAAGGTGAGGTTATGCTCCTTGTTGTGGTCTGGATAGTAAAAGAAGCTCAACTAAAATTCATAACAGTTCCAGATCATCAATGGAAAGTCAAGAAGGAGATCTGTTGGAATCAAAGTCAGAGACAATCCAGGATTTTTGGTGAAGAGACCCAAAGAAGATGAGCTGAATCAGTCAACAAAGTCTTTTAGGTACAGGGAGGGATTCCACAGATATCTGGATAGACTTGAGAAAAGCTCATCAGCTGATAGTCCTTATATTGGATTATAGGTGGTTTTCCAGCCTGGTACTTGATTTTAGCTATTTTTGCCCATTCTTTCCACTGTTTCATGAGACATGTACATTTAGTCTTACTGACATGTATTTCTTCACATTTTGTATCTTTCATGGGTGCATATAAAACAAATAAGGATTTTGAGAGAAAACTCATGGTTAAAAATTTTTATTTACAATAAGAAAATGCACGGACAAATCCAATATGGTGTGTTCTAAATAAATTTGTCAATTACACATGTTTCTCACTGAAAGGCTACTTCCTTAACAAGTACTTTCTAAGTAAAAAAAAGGCTCTATTTCAAACTATTATTCATTTATTGAGTGACATGAGTGAGATTAAAAGACAACCAATCACCAACTTAATATTTAGTTTCTTGTGGAGGTTGGGTTTCTGCAAAATATAAACACAATGTCTGTTTTCTCATGTTTTGAATGTTTTTAAAGAGTGAATTTTTTTTGTGATTTTTAACAGTATGCTAAAACATTTTCTCACTTGAAAATTATAATTCCATTTGAAAGTTTTGAGTTTATGCCAGTGAGATGTAAAAATAACAGGAAATTTTTTTTATGCTTTATATAAGGATTGACTGCAGTGGCTGGATTAGTTGGAGAGGGATATGAGGCAGCATAGGCAACAAAGTGACTTTTGTCAAATCATTGGAGGTCCTTTGCTTATCTATTTTTACAAAAAGTAATGGCGACTGGGAATAATGGCTTACACCTAAATGATCATGGTGGATTGTCCAAACTTTGGTGTACTTAACTGCAGTGGACTAAGCCTATTGGATGTACATACTAGGTCTGGCATCAGTATGGTGAACCAATGGGAGTACCAGGCAGAGAGATACCGGACTACTTAAGGAGGGGAAAGGGACCAGTCAGAAATGGAACAGATTAAAGCTTTAGTGCTGATAACCAGTGGGAATAGGCCATGAATGGCCACTGCACTTTCAGCCTGGCTGGTTTAGGAAGAGGAAAGAAAGAAAGAAAGAAAGAAAGAAAGAAAGAAAGAAAGAAAGAAAGAAAGAAAGAAAGAAAGAAAGAAAGGAAGAAAGGAAGAAAGGAAGAAAGGAAGAAAGGAAGAAAGGAAGAAAGGAAGAAAAAAGAAAGAAAGAAAGAAGAAGAAAAAGAAAGAAAGGAAAAGAAAGGAAGGAAGGAAGGAAGGAAGGAAGGAAGGAAGGAAGGAAGGAAGGAAGGAAGGAAGGAAGGAAGGAAAAAGAAAGAAAGAAAGAAGGAAGGAAAGAAAGAAAGAAAGAAAAAAGAAAGGAAGGAAGGAAGGAAGGAAGGAAGGAAGGAGAGAATTATACAACCAGATCATAAGGTAAGGTTGTACTCCTTGTCATGGTCCAGATAGTAAAAGAACCAGAAAATTTTGAAGACAATAATAATCACGATAAAATGTTGGTAATAATAATGATGGCTTACATTTATATAGCCTTTTAAGTTTTACATAGTATTTTACAAATATTATTTCATTTTACAACTGGCTGTGTTGAATACATACAAAGACAAAAGGGTCCTTTGGATAAACAATTTGTTCTAGTAATGACTATTTTAATAGGGCAGTATTTCCCAAATCATATTGAAATGTGATAGCTTACGCTGCCTACAATTACATAGGTATGTTATATATGTGTACATGTTAACTTTTTTCTGTAAACAGCACGAACATTTAAAAACTTAAATAAATTTCCATTTTAAAATCATTGAACATGAATCTATATTAAAATTATATTTACAATAGATATCATAAATATATCTCCTAATGCATTTCTAATCAAAGCAAGAAATTGACCTTGAGTTTTCAAAGACCATGCTGGCTGAAGGCAAACTGTCAAGTTCTTTAAAGAATGAAAAACTTGAGTTTGATCCCAAGAACACAATGAGCTGTTATACAAGGACCAGTGTAGCTCAAGAGAGAGTCTCACCATCAGTAGGTTGACTACCAGGTGATGTATTCTTTGGTCACGGCAAACTATGAAACAAAAACAAAATACACAATGGTGTTTACTACTCTAGTATAATCCCCTCCTGCTTCCATAGTGACAGTGGCAGAATGGCAGCAAGGAGGTCAGAATCAAGTTCCTAGACTCTTCAAAAACATTAATTAAACTGTTGGTATTCTGGATGTAAGATTTCTGTTTGTTGACCAGTGAGTTGAAATGCCACTGGAGGAACTAAACCATATCAAGGTTGACAAAGTTACAGTTTGATAGAAGGATAGCTTATGGGACCTCCATGAAAAGGTTAACAAAGGAATTGCCAGATTTGGTTGCATCATTTTCTCCAAAGCAATAAGAAACATTATTTCGTGGAACAAATCAAGTCAACAAGAATTTATTAAGCAATTAACATGTGCCAGGCACATATTATATGCACATATTGCACAAAGCACTGAAGATACAAAAAATAAAAGCACATTTCCTATCACCAAGGAACTTGTGTTCTAGTAGGGGAACACTACATGCAAACAGCCATGAACAACTATGTATACAAGATACACATACACACACATATGGTAATTTGGAAGCAATCTCAGAGGGAACATTCTATCAACTCATCTTGTGCTCATGAGGAACATAACTAAAAGGACTACCATGAATATTATTGTAGTTTGTGTGCCAACAACTGTTGCAGACAATGAAGAAGTCAAGAAATTTGGCAAAGAACTTTATTAATTCCTCCAAATGAAACCAACATACATTTCATCTTTGGTAACTTCAATGAAAAAATAGGCACAGTGAAGAAAGGAAAAATTTTCTTGGAGAAAATATTGCTTGGGATTGAGAAACAAAAGAAACCAAGAGTCTGTAGACTACTTAGAAGCCAAATGCCCAGATATGAATGCATTCTACAAGAAGAGAGTAGAATGGTAATAGGCATGTTGTTGTCTAGTTGTTCAGTCATATCCAACTCTTTCGGAACCCATGGAACATAGGACACCAGGCCCTTCTATCTTCTAATTTCTTCCTAAAGTCTTTCTAAGCTCATATTCATTGTTTCCTTGACACTATCTATCTATCTCATCCTCCACTATCTCCTTCTCCTTTTGCCTTCAATCTTTCCCCAAACCAGAGTCTTTTCCAATGAGCCCTGTCTTCTCATTATTTGGCCAAAGTATTTAAGCTTTAGCTTTAGTATTTGTCTTTCCAATGAATAGCTGATTAATTTTTTAAAGTATTGGCTGATTTGATCTCTGGGACTCTTAAAAGTCTTCTCCAGCACCACAATTCAAAAGCATAGATTTTGTGGCATTACGCTTTCCTTATGATCCAACTCTACAAACCATACATTATTATTTTAAAAACCATAGCTTTGACTATATGGAAATTTTTTTTAAGCAAGGTTGTCTCTGCTTTTTAGTTTGCTGCCCAGATTTGTCATAGCTGTCCTTTAAAGGAGCAAGAGTATCTTGATTTCATGGCTTCAGTCACCATCTGCAGTGATCTCTGAGCCCAAGAATATAAAGTCTGACACTGCTTCCATTTCTTCTCCCTCCAGTGGCCAGGAAATGATGGGGCCAAGAGCCATAATCTTGGGGTTTTTTCTTTGGTTTTGTTTTGTTTTTGATGTTAAGCTTCAAGCAAGCTTTTGCACTCTTCTCTTTCACCCTAATCAAGAGCCTTCTTAATTCTTTTTCACTTTCTGCCATCAGAAAATATTGTCTGCATATCTGAGATTGTTGATACTTCTCTCAGCTACCTTAATTCCAGCTTTTGATTTGTCTAGCCTGGCAATTCACATGATATACTCTGCATATAAGTTAAATAAATAAGGTGATGATATGCAGCCTTGTTATATTCCTTTCCAAATCTTAGACCAATCAGTTGTTCCATGTTCTGTTCTAACTGTTTGTTCTTGGTCTGCATACAGGTTGCTTAGGAGACAAGTAAGATGATCTGGTACTCCCATCTCTTTGAGAACTTGATACATTTTGTTGTGATCCACATAGGCAAAGGCTTTAGTGTAGCCACCAATGAAGCAGAAGTAAATTTTTTTTCTGGAACTCGCTTGCTTTCTCCATAATCCAATGAATGCTGGCAATTTGGTCTCCAGTTCTTCTGCCTCTTCGAAAACCAGCCTGAACTGGTAATTCTTGGTTTATATATATTGCTGAAGTCTAACTTGCAGAATCTTAAGCATAACCTTGCTGGCATGTGAAGAGAGCACAATTGTTTGGTAATTTGAACATTCTTTGGCATTGTCCTTCTTTAGGACTGCAATGTAAACTGATCTTTTCCAATCCAGTGACCACTGTTGAGTTTTCCAAGTTTGCTGGCATATTGAGTGCAGCACCTTAACAGCATCATCTTTCATGACTTTAAATAGCTTAGCTAGAATTGCAACTCCCCCATAAATCACACAGAATAAAAGTTATCTTAATAAGCAGGTAAACACTAGTTGCTAATGTGAGAGTTATTTCTGAATTGCTTGTCTGTATACTGTTAGACTTCTGAGTACATTTATCAAAGGTCAAACAAAATACCAAATTAGAAGAAAGATAGAAATGAGAAGAAAACACAGTACAAACATTTAAACTTCAACCTGACATTTAAATTAGTTGTGCATTTTAAAAATAAGAAATAGAAAGAGGTAAAGATATTGATACTGATTGCAACCATTTTTAATAAAAAAAATACCTTATTTGAAATATTCAACACCACAAGCAGGCTAAAATAGCCTTGATATCTTTGCTAAGCAGAAACACATGGAAATCAAAGGTAACATTTATTTCTAAAACATTATAGAGGAGGAGCATGAAAGTTTTAAGCAGTGTTGCCTCACAGAATATCAAAAAGATATGGTGGTAAAAACAAGTCTGTAGAAAATATCTTATGAGACTTAATTAAGCTAGATCATCTCAAGAATACTTAACAGATGAAACTGGAAATAGAACAACTATGTAGAAAATGGAACAGATTTGCCAATATTCTTATGGTGATGTATTCTCATCATTAATGGAAAAAAAATAAATTTAGACTCTTTAGGCTCTCAGTACCTACAAGTAGAAAAGATATTACCTATAGATAGTGAGGTCCTCTTGTTGTTCATGTTTGTGGATGATGTTGTGCTGACTGATCAAGCCCGAGAAAACTACAGGGCTTCCTAAGTAATATTTATAGTTATTTAAAAGAGTTGGCCTAGAAATTCATAAAGAAAAAAAAGAAATTGATTAAGAATGCCTTTTGCTCAGCCTGTGACATGTAGTTCATTAGGTCAGCAGTACGTTTATCTTTGACAGACACTGAGATGACAAACTGAATAGGAGGAACTGGTAGGCTAGATAGATTTCAGAAATACTATTGTACTTTAAAAAATCCAAAATATCCCTGTGATGTGGAAGCCTACTTTTTAACATCAATATTCTCAAAGAGATACACTTTGTGAATACAAATCATGGAATGTTAGAATTTCCAAAGAATAAAAATTATTAGAGAATCTACTTCAATGGATCATGAAACAATCATGGTACTGAAGTGGAGCCTAAATGAATGAAAAAACTTAGGCAATAAAATTTCTGTGGACTGCTGCTTATCTATATGTTGGTAGATAGGTAGGTGGATTACATTGTCTTATATCACCTCACAAGTATTTAGAATTTAGTTGAGGGTCATTGTCAAAGATGTCAATAAAATGTTCAGATGACCTTACTAGACTTCTCCTCAGAGTAATGGTAGACATTTTATAATCCTTTCTTTTCTTTCCACTAATCCCCATCTTCCTTGTGCTGCTTCTCTCCAGCCTGACTTGCATTTACCTTTCTTTCTGTAGTTTATTTTATGCAGTGTAGCCCAATAAAGAAGCACTCTGACCATCATTTGGTTATTTGTATAATCAGTTAATTGCTATTCCTTATTTCATAATGTATTACTTATCACTATAATTTTCTGTATTTGTGTCTAGGGATAGTCTTATGAAAGATTATATTTTAAGAACAGTAGGATTAATTAATTTCTTCTTTAAAGGGGTTATTTTTGCATTTAATACTATCAGTTTTCAGCTGATACTATTAAACATGTTAAATTTATAATTCCTTTGAAAATACTTATAAGCTGCAGTTCATATTTTCATTTTGCTTACTCTCTATATGTATATATACATATACACAAGTGTTTATGTATATATAAATTCATATGTTCTATAACATAATAAATAATTATGTTTTAATGTAGAAACATATACTGTGGAATATAATCTATTTTAATATACAATTTTATATAGTATGTATACTATATAATCTCATATATTACATAACTATATATGCATGTGTGTATATTATTTATTTATTCATCTATCTATCTATCTATCTATCTATCTATCTATCTATCTATCTATCTATCTATCTTTTGTTTCCTCCCCATAACACCTTTGAGATTGGAAGTACATATTATGACAATTTTACAGATGAAAAAACTGAGCCTCAGAGAAGTTAAATGACTTGGTTAAAGCAACATAACTATTAAATGTCGGTACCTCTAAAACAGGTCTTCTGAACAAGATTTTTCCTACAATATGATTGTGTAATGTCTCTCACTACCTGTGCCACAAATAACACAAAGCCATTAATGCTAGATCCAGGTTCCTTTTCATGAGTAGGTAGATATAAATATCTATTTCTTAGATTTATCCAACTCCTCATGTTTCTTTTATGGTGCAGTGAAAAGAGAACCAGAATTGGTGTCAGGAAGATGTAGATTCAAAACTGGCTCAGACACAGCTATTACTTGACTGAAAATGTTGTTTAGCCTATGTCTTAGTTTGCTCCTCAATAAAATAAAGAGTTTAGACTTACAGGCTTCTAATTTTCCTTCTAGCTCTAAATCTATGATCCTGTATCAGCATTATGATTCTTCCCACCCCCACTCTCCTAGTGGTCTGTAAAATATGCTGATTGTACAATCATTCTATAACTTCTGGTGACTAGAGACATTGTGACATATTGGATTTGGTGCTGGATTTGAAGTCACAATGTCTTGCGTTCAAATCTCACCTTTGATGCTTCCTATGTGACTCCTATGTGACAAGTCACCCAACCTCTCTGGGCCTCCAACAACTCCTTAGGACCAATCTGCTAAATCACAAATAGGTTGTCATCTGTAATTTTGCCTAAAGCCAGAATGCCATATACAGATACCAGAGGCAGTCAAAGAAGCTAATGTTTGCCATGAAGGAAAGTCACAAGGACTCAAAGCTGGGTTTCAGTCTAGCTTTGCCACCAACCAGCTGTGTAATTTTAAACAGTTCATATGAACTTTCTAGACTCAGGTTTTTCATCTATGAAATAGGGGGGTTAGACTAGACAATTGCTAGACTAGACAATTTAACATTCTGTTAATCTAATAATATTTACATATTTAGACTTCAGTTGCTTATAAAGATTAGTTGGTGTCTTTAAATTTCATGGCATGAGTAGTTCTCTAAATATAGATCTAGTCTTGATAGTATCAGGTTTTTTGGTTTTTCTTGGTGGCAGGGGGGAGGGATGGTGAGGATTTGTGATTTCTTTGGTTCTGAAAATTCTAAGTGCGGAAACTCTGTCCACTGATTTACACCAAAAACACATATGAAACATAGAGTCTTATAGAGTTGTTTGGGGCACTGAGAAATTAAGTGACTTACTTGTGGTTACATGACCATCACATACAAGAAGCAGGACTTAATTTCAGGTCTTTCTAACTTCAAGGAGAGATTTCTATCCATTCAACCACATTGCCTTTCATTTTGCAGAATCACAGATTTAGCGCCAAAAAGAATCTTAAAGGTCATTAAATCTAACTCTGTTGGTTCCTGAGAGGGGACTGAGGCCCACAGAGGTTAAGTGACTTGCCAAAGATCACACAGACAGTAAATATGAAAGGTGATTTTTAACTGAGATGACTTATTAGGATTTATTTTTGGACTAGAAATCTAACCAAAGCAAAGTTTCAATCTTTATCATCTCTCTTAGGCTATATTTGTACTTTTTCCTAGAAAAAAGGAAGTCAAAGAAAACCAGATTGGAATATTGCCCAACTGTCAATTGGATGGAATACCTGAGCTTGTCGTGTAATCAAACTGGGAATAATGTAAAACAAAGAATGTGTAAGTTAGTAGTTGGACTGGAATCTTACACAATGAATAAAATTAGGTCCCTTATAATTCCTATTTCTGTGTTCCATTTTTTATCAAGTGTTTTTCTCAAGACCTTTGAATTTACTGTTTTTAGTGTGGTTACACTACCAACCCTGTCCTGTTTGTATAGCTTACACAGGGTGGCAATAGTCTGCCAGATTTCAGTTTCATAATTTCAGGTACTGTTGCCATAGAGGGCAAGGAAAGGGAGGTGTTAGGTATATACATAAAAGTATATTTGAAATGAAGAGAGGGAAAAAAAATCTACATTTCAATGGAAATACTTTCAAGGCATTTCAAATAAGAGTTGGAGAGAAATAATTACAAAGTTTGGAAAGAAAGAATCTTCGCTTTGATCTGCCTTTCTTCTGTAAAGCAATTAAAATAAGCAATTTTTCAAATACTAAGCAGAAAATTACTAATGGCTGAACCCAAAGCTTTCATTTTCTTCTTGGGGCTTTCATTCCTCTAAAAAAAAGACAAAAAATATTAAGGTGGCTTTCCAGATAGATTAATGCATAAAGCATTTACTGGTTGGCTGTCATAAAACTATGGCAGCATAGAATAGCTGAGATTAAGAGCTAGATTTAAATCATGCAACAGTCCAGTTAATATCAATGTCTAATTAAGAAATGCATAAGAAGTCTGTAATGTTGATTTGATGGAGAACAACTCTAATAGGGCTCTATTCGAATTTTCCATTTCAATTGCCTTTGTAGACATTTAATGGCTATGTCTCTTACACAGTCTTTGGTATTCACAGGAATCATTTCCGAGTTAAAATCAGGACCTAAAGTGGAACATAGGTAGACAAAATTAACTCATCTGGAACATAGGCTTTATAAACAGCAACAACAACAAAATGTGACAGTGCTTGAAGATTTAATTTGAAAAAGACTACTAGAATTGGACTTCAAAGTTAAGCTTCACTTTCTTCTTCACTTCTTAAGCCTTCAGATCAATCAACATTCATATATAGTGAGATATGAAATACTTTGTCATTTACTGAAGTTATTGTACTGGATGTGTTGAACTGTAATTGTACTAGCTGCTTAGATTGTAATCTCTTGGCATGTCTCCCCATCACCAGCAATGTGAGTAATTAACCATTTGTCTGCCATTGAGGAGGCATGACAAAGATCACAAAGGTTGTAATTGTTGATATTAGGAAGTATAATATGATTGGGTACTGCTTCAGTGGTCTTCTTTGTTATTCCTAAATGCTCTCAAGTAACTGAATTAGTGACTATTTCAATCGTTATGTTTCTAATGGCTTTAGAAAAGAGACAGAAGAAATAAAGGACTAGTGCTGTATTAAATCAGTAACGTACATGCTATCACTACCTTAGTGTTGATCCAGAGGGAATTAGAGTAGGATTTGAAACACTAAATAACCCTAATGACACTAGGAGGAAGCTCACCAGGGAGTTGTTTAAGAGTTTGTCAGAGCACATTAAAATACAATACATTCACATAATAAAAAAGGGTATATCATTCCATCTGTCTATACATTCCTTTCCAATATTATATTTGTCCAGGGACTTTTCAAAATTACATCACCTAACTCTATCCCTTTACTTAGTGAATAAAAAATGTGCAAAAAATGGAGACCAAATCAGAATAATGTATACAAGTGAAAGTCTATAATTTAAATCATTATTGCTTAAGTTACCATTGCTTTAATCAGTCTTATCATAAATCAGTCCTTTTCACATAAGAAGTTCTTAAAGTGCTGTTAAACAAATCGTGTCTCTTAAAAGGAATGATGCAATTGGGAAGCTTCCGAAGACAGAAAATTCTTTTTAGCTTCCAGTCCAATTCAGCTATTTTACACATTGGCTTTAATTCTATAGTTACCCAGTTATTTCTTGAAAATTATGTTACAAATATTTATGCCCATAGTATTGCATTAAAAAAAATACTATTCCTAGGAAAAATTCATACCTATCGGTTATTGCTTCTACTAGTTGGAAATAAAGTCTTATTTTCTCCCCTTTTGGACTCAGTATATTGCTATATTGGTAATATGAAGTTTGTTATTTGACCAAAATCCAGAATAAAGTGCTTTCTATGCTGTGTAGTGGATTATTTGAGGAAATTTAAGTCAAAAACATTTATTAAGGGCATAGTATATGCAAGGTACATGCTAGACACTGGGGATGCAGAGACAAGGAAAAACAAGTTTCTACCTTCAATAAGTTAACATGGGAATATAATTTTTAGTCACTTATATTTTGTAAGATATTTTGCAGTTTGATGGATAGATTTTTAAAAAATGTTTTATTTATTTTTCAAAAAGCCAGGAAAATTTACTTTTTGTCCTGGGTTGTTTTCATGTATGATTTCTTGAAATATAGTTCTGAAAAAACAGGCTTAAATAAAAGCCCATTGTGATTCAAATGGAGATACTTGACTATATCTCTAAACCAAATCATTATGATTTGGCTTTCCTTGAATGGCCAATGATAGTCTCCAGCCCAAACCTCTGTCACTCAATGTTTAGGCTGATGGCTTAGAATGAGCATAAATAGCAATTGTTTTCTGTTCTAGCCAGAAACTCCAGAGGGCCTTCCCCTTCCAAATCAATACTTTTGTGGTGGTAAACTAGGCTGTCTTGTTCTTTTTTGGGCAAACTGATGCAGCCTACCCTCATGACTACCTCTATTCCCAGGGGCTCCTCATGCCAAACTTAGTGTAGATACCTAATTGACACATCCCACTGCAGCTCAGAACTCCCTAGCTTCAGTCTTCCTAGGAGCTGGCATTATAGGAATGTCTGGCTATGCCAATTGTCCTTTAATATTTGACCAAATTATCTACCTCTGTAGCAATGGCCATATTCTGGACTTCTGGCAAATAAAGCAAGTGGCTTTGAAAGTGCGGAAAGAGCTGAACTATGATCTAGAATCTTCATTTGCGTATTTCATTGTAATGGTTGGTTGATTGGTTGTTGTCCATTCTCAAAGAGGATCAAAATGACATCATTATGTTGGAGCCAATGTACAGTATGTCTGACTGTGGCTGATCAGACCAATATGAGGTTGGAAGGTTCCACCACAGATTGAGCACAAATAGTCCCCATGAATATTTGGGAGGTAGATGTCTCTAGATTTGTGCATCTCACATTTCTTTTGAGCTACTGCAATTCTGTTTCACTTACAGAGTACAGCACCTTCTTTGATGAGGGCATGTCATGCTGGACAATCCTGTGCATCTCCCATGTCACACAATCAGTTCTAAAGTTCTTCAGAGAAATCTCATTGCAATAATCAGGTAAAAAGTAATCAGTTGAGTCAACTGCACCAGTAAAATCAGCTGAGAAGTTATGTAGCAGAAAGCATTGTTACACAAACTGTGCCCTGTGACTATTAAACAATGATCCATGTTCCATGTGTGGTATGTATACATACACATACATACATACATACATACATACATACATACATACATACACAGCCACATGTACATGGTCAATCCTGGGATCTCTCCCTCTATGTGCAGTCTGATCAGATTCCACTTGATTGTGCTCAGTTCTAGAGTCAGTCACAGAGGAAGAATTAAAAAAAATTTAGAGGGGGTTTGGGTAGCTCACTAGAACAAATAAAGACTTGGAAAGTCAACCACAGGAAAGGCAAAGGAAATGAGAATGTTTAACCTAGAAAACAGAAGACTAACAAGAGACTCAGAAATGGTCCTTAATATCCAAAGTATTTTATGAAGAAGTTTAACTAACTCTTTTTTTCCTTTTTCCCTGAGACAGAACAACATAAGATAACATTAAACTGTGGTCCAAGCAGTTTAGGCCAAATACAAGAGAGAAGAGTCAAATGTGGCTTAGTGGATACAGAGCTGGCCTCAAAGACAGGAAGACCTGGATTCAAGTCCTGACTCTGACTTAGACTACTATGTGACCTTGGGTAAGTCATGTGACTTCTCAATGCTCTAGTCAACTTTCTATAATTCTCAGGAAAGATGTTAACTTGCATTAAAAAAGAGAAATTTCCACACCAGGGAGCTCTTCATAATTATGAAATCATACTTTCAACACCTGTTCTATAAGGAAGAACATTTTGAGAGTGGCAGTTGTTGAATACTCTGATGGAACAGTTATGGAACTTCCTTCTGTTGTAAGAGTTGGGTAGATTCTTATCTAGGTATGATATCTTAGATATATGTGAAGATGAAAGGATGTATACATTGACTCTTGTTAATTGTATTACCTTTATGTATACCTTTAATGACTTTGATTAAGAGCTGTTTAAAACTCATGAGTGAAATATTTTAAATCTTAAAGCAGGCATACTATCTTTTTTTTTTTTGCAAAGTTATTGAACTAGCTTATCCTGATATGTAATGGATCTCTGAGCTTACTAATTTAGCTATTCCTGTAATTATGCAGCTCACTAGGTCAGCCCATCCTATGGAAATCTTGTCCATCACCTCCAGTGAATTCATCACAGGGACTCCACCCACCATTCAGGAGGCTTGCCTTGTTTTCTGGTGGATAATTTGCAGATAACAATCAAGTACCTAAGATGGTCATGGTTGTCTCTCACTCTCACCATATGACCATGGGAAGGGGAAAGGACTTCTTTTTAATTCATACATTTGTCAGGGTCACACTTTATTTTCCAAATAAACCAGCCTTTTTGCTCTTTTTCATAAGTGAAATTCCAGTTCCCATTTGTTCCTCATGCCTGGAATGCACTCTCTCCTCACCTATACTTCTTAAAATCCTGAGTTTCCTTCAAAGCTCAGCTCCAATTATGAGGTGTTCTCCCATCCCTCAGTTACTAATGCTCTTCCCCACTGCCGAAATTATCTTGTATATATTTTGTACATATTTAGATGAGTACACATTTTCTCCCTTGATATGTCATAAGCTCTCTGACTTGTAATATTTTAGGTACTGGGGATTCAGCTGCCTGGGACATAATAGGTGCTTAAGAAATGCTTGTTGATTGACTGAGTGGTCAGTACTTGAATTGCGTGCCACTGGGAATTACATATGACCTTGTGAGAGCTATTTGGAAAGGCAGCATGATATAGTGGAAACTGCAATGAACTGGAAGTCAGGAGCCCTTGGATCTAGTTCTAGTTTTGCTAATACTAGCTGTGTGATGCTGTAAGTAAGCCACTAACCTTGCTGGAGCCTCAGTTTCTTCAACTATAAAATGAAGTTAGGAAACATGATCTCCAAGGCTCTTTCTAGCTTACTGTTCACTCCTCTAAGCTCAGCTCCTGAGTTTCCAGACTTCTCAACCATAAACCAGCCTTCTCACACTGGAATGTCTTTCTCTTTGTCTTCATGGCGTCCTCCTCCAATTGGGGAGTTCCTCCTGAACCTCCATTTTGGGGAAGGCCAGCCATGTTAATTCTTTTACTCCTCTTCTGGCTCTATGATTGACTCTACAAACTTCTCCACTGTGGCCCTTAGTGGCCCTTCTCCTTCCTCTCCCCCAACAGACTCAGCTTCCTTTTATATATTTTCCCTCATTAGGGGGAAGGGTATAAGCGTTTCTATGCTACGTACCATGTGCTGTTCACTGTGCTAATGGTCTTTTGTTTTCTTTTTTCTTTTTTATGAATATTATTTCATTTTATCCTTGCAACAAGTCTGAAATACAGATGCCATTATTATTCCTATTTTATAGTTGAGGGATTTGAAGCAGATAGAGGTTAATTGACTCAATCAGGGTTACATAGCTAGTTCATATTTGTGACCAGATTTGAACTCAGGTTTTCCTTATTCCAGGCCAGGAACTCTCCTGCATTACCAGCCGCCTCTATTAGAATATAAGCTCCTTTAGGTCTTTCTCTTTCCTTGCATCTGTATTCCCAGTGCTTAGCACAGTGACTGATGCACACTAACCACTTAATATATGCTTTCTGACTTGACTTCCAGTTATAAAATTGTATGACTACAAAATTAATCTTTATTAGAAATAGTGAAGCAATTCATTTTTTTGGCATTATATATGTATCTGTATGTATATGTATGTGTATATATATATCTGTGTGTATATATATACGTATATATATGTGTGTGTATATATATATGTATATATAGGTGTGTGTATATATATCTGTGTGTATACATATGTATACATATGTGTGTGTGTATATATATAGAGAGAGTGTGTGTGTGTGTGTGTGTGTGTGTGTGTGTGTGTGTGTGTATGTCTAGGTGAGAGTAGCAAACAACGAGTCCTCCCCTCTGGACAGGTTACTGGATTCTCAAAGCCATTGCTATGATTTTTGTTTCCCTAAATTCTTTTTAACAGAGAATGCTGCCGTTGTCCCATAACAAGGATTGTAGCTATCAGGTTGTCTTTTAGTAGACATAGCCAGAAGTACATGTCCAGTATGTAAATACTTTGTTTTTAAAAAAATGTTTTTTATTTACTTACATATGTATGTGTTAGCTCCATCTATAGAACGTAAGCTCCTTGAGGACAGGGACTAATTCATTTTGTTTTTGTTTCCCAAGGGCCTAGAAGAGTGCCTGGCACAGAGAAGGTGCTTGGTAAATACTCACTGAATTAAATAATAGCAAGGGAATTCAATCAATCGATCAACACACATTTATTAAGTGCCTATTATGTGCTAAGTATACAGGAAAGAAAGAAATGTAAAGAAAGTGTAAAGAAATTCAGGACCAGTGAGACAGAATGTTTTTTCTTTGTTGTTATCCCAAATTTTTCTCAAGCACTACATTCATTTTGAAAAGCTAAAATGTTCTTTTGTATTTTATTCTCTCCAAACCAGGTTTTCTGTAGGTGTCTTAAAAAGGTTCCCAAACCAATTGTTCCTGCTGTGATTCTGCCCTTCAGACCTCAGGTGTAGGCCTCATTACATTACACCTGCTTTGCTTTGTGGTCACATGTGGGTGGCGTCATTCCACATTATTCCACTTTTCAAAACCCCTGTATAATTGACTCACCCATTCCAGTTTCCTCTGGGACTAGTGCTGTGTGCCTTGTCTACCTCACAATTGTGGGTAAGTGGAATTGTTCTCCATCATGTGATCTTTGGCCGTCTGGATGAAAGAGAAGAAATTGCTCATTTCCATTTGTGACCGATTTCAACACTACAAAGATAAAAGACTGGAAGTTGTGAGGTTTCTTGGGGGCTACTTGTTAGGTACTGAGAAAGACTTGAATGTAAATCTTACAAGGCTGGTAAGAAGGGTTCAGAGAGAAATCAGCCAATATTGAGGGAAGGGAAAGAATCACTGTTAATACCACTCACTACCCTTCTAGATCATTACAGATTCTTTATAACCATAAAAATCGACTTGAATAGTAAGCACACTAAAACAAATGAGGGGCAGCATGGCATAGGAAGGCCTAGATTCAAATCCTGAATCTGACACTTACTTGATGCTTAACCTTGAGAGGGTCTCAGTTTCCTCATCCATGATATGGGAATAATAATACCTGCAAAACCCATTACATAAACTTATTGCGTGTGAGGCATAAATGACCTAATTTGTATAAAGCAGTGTGTAAACTTTAAGTCACTATACTAATACCCATTATTATTAAATAAACTAAATGATCAACCTCAAGGTAAAAGGAAAATAGATGTGTTTGAGAGGAATTAATGCCCATAGACTATCTAGGTAAGAACCCCAATAAAACACGTAAGATATTTGGTGTCTTCTCTCTAAAGAAGTATTCAGCAAAACGTACCTATTGCATTTCCTAATCTAAATAATGATTTTCCTCCAAAGTAAGAAATGCCCACGTTACTAGACCAAAGAGATAGGACCTTCTTAAGCTGACCATTGTCTATGCCCATCTTAAATTCTTTTATAACTCAGAATGTAAGGAACATCAGAGATCACCAAGTCCTACCTCATTTTACAGGAACTGAGGCAGAAGTTACCAAGTGACTTGCCCAAGGTCACATAATTAGTGAATAACATAGCTAGGTCTCCTGATTACTAATCTAATGCTCTTTCCATTACTTGCTGTAGAAATGCTCTCCACTGATGTGGATTGGCAACTTGACTGTAATTTATAATCTTAGAGATTTAACTAGGGCACAGAGATGTTAACTGACTTATTCACAGTCACACAGCTAGCATGCATTAAAGACAAGACTTCAAGTTAGGTCTTCATGACTTCAAGGTTAGCATTTTATATGTTACGAGATGCTTCCTGTCATATTTCTTCATATGAACTATTAGCAAGAAAGACTCACCTTATTCCAGCAATAGAATATAAACTCCTAAAGGGCAGAAATAGGTCTTACTTTTTTGTATTTGTATTACTAGTGCTTGGCAGGTAGTAGGTGCTTAGTAAATATTTGTTGTTGATCATTTAGTATTTTATGTTTGAAATCTTTTTTTTTTGTCACATTCTGTGCAGGAAGATGGTACAAATCATTATTGCTCCCATTTGACAGATGGGAAAATTGAAATGCAAAGAGATTTCATATCTAGTAAATGTTGGAGCTAGAACAAAAGCCCAGGTCTCTTGATTCCAAATGTGGGGTTCATTCTATGACATCATGCTGCCTCTCTAATAGTTTGTAGCATTATATTGAGAGCACAGTTTAATGTGACAAAAATTATATTTTCTGAAAAATAATTTTTTGCCATTTTGCATTACAAAAGGGAAGTTTTACAATTCTCAAACCAGCAGAATTTATATCTATAGTGTATTTTATACTCAGAATTGTGGAATGAGAACATAGAAATCCTCTGTTAAAAGATCATTGGGCCATCTACTTTGGTGACTTGCCTTTGGCAATGGTCTATGCCTAATGTTACAGACGAAGGCAAAAATAAAAACCATAATGCACCTGGTCAATTATGCATTGCTATACCATAGGGGGGAAATTCCTTCCTAACCCCAGCTGGTTTTTGCCCTCAAGCATGGGGACTGATATGCCTTGTAACTTTTTAACCTAGTTAGTGTAACTGCCAATGTTATTCCTATTCATATAAATTTCTAATCCTTTTTTGAATCTTGCAAGACTATTTGCCTCAATAATATCCTGCGGCCACAAATTCCATAGGTTGATTATACGCTGCTTAAAAAAGTATTTCCTTTTATCCGTTTTAAATTTGTTGCTTTTTAACTTCATCAGATGGTTCTTGTTCTTGCATTATGGGGCACAGGCAGTTGGAACTGGCTTTTATTTACCCAATCATTTCCTCTATTTCCATTAAAATCTATTCTTTTAATTTTTCAGTCTGGCTAATACTATTTTGATCCTCAACAACATTAAGAATTCTTTGTTTATGTCATTTATCTTCAAAAGAGTTCAAAGATCTTCCATCAGTCTTGGGTAATATCCTAGCAACATTCATATGGCATTTATTATTCTCATTTTATTTGTGAGAAAACAAGAATGGGAAGTCAAATGACTTACCTAAGATAACATAGCAAATCATTGATTCTCCTTAAGAAAATAATTGGCTTCACTCTGCCATATTGCCTTTCCCTCAAATGCCCTAACAGCCTCTGATGAAGAAATGGCTCTTTTGCTCACCACCCCTACAGTTGCTGTTGCAGGCAGAGGTGTGTTGGAGCCAGCTCACAGGTGCTTCTGAGAGTCAAATACCAAAATTTCAGTGTGAGCATTTAACCTCAGAAATGAGCAAAGGTTACAAACCAGGCCTTGATTTATTGTTTTGTTGATTGTCTTGACTTAAGAAAGTGATAGATAAAAATATTATAACACAGATTAAACTCAAAAGTGTGTCATGTGTACATAACATCCCCCCACTCCCACCCAAAGAGAGCTAGTTGTTAAACAAGCATACCCATTCCCCTAGGTATACTTGATCCTATCCTGTTCCCCATTCCTGGCATATTGCCCCCACTCATCTTTTCTTTCTGTCTGTCTCTCCCAGTCTTCCCGGTTCTAGCTCCCTTCTTTTCTTTCTTCCACTCTTTCTCTTTCTTCCTTTCTCTTTTAATATCTCCCTATCAATGGTTCCTTCCTTGCTATCTCCAAACACACTCAAATTTTCCCCATACTTAAAAAATAACCTTGCCTATATCCCACCATTCCTGCTGGATATCATCTCATATAACTCTCCTTTTCTCACCCAAACTCCTGGAAAAATCATTTATATTCAGTTCCTCCACTTTCCCTGTTCTCACTCTCTTCTAAACCTTCTGCAATTTGGCTGCCAGCCTTATCTTAATTGCCAAATGTAATAGTATCTTCTCACTCTTCATCCTTGTTATCTATCTATCTATCTATCTATCTATCTATCTATCTATCTATCTATCTATGCATTTATTTATTTATCCATCCATCCATCCATTCATTCATTTATTTGTTTGTTTGTTTGTTTGTTTATTTATTTATTATTTTTGGCTAGGCAATGAGGTTAAGTGATTTGCCCAAGGTCACACAGCTAGTAAGTGTCAAGTGTCTGAGTCTGGATTTGAACTCAGATTCCAGGGTCAGTGCTTTATCCTCTGCACCACCTTGCTGCCCCAACTCTTCACTCTTCTTGATATTTCTAAAGCACTTGACATTGTTGACCACCCTCTCTTATGGAGGCTTTTCTTTCTCTTCTCTTGAGTTTTAATGATCCTGTTGTCTCTTGGTTTTCTTCCTACCTGACTGCTTCTTCTCTCTTTCTTTCACTCATTTTATCATCTATGTCATGCCCTTTACCCCAAAGTTTTATCCTGGGCGCTCATTCATCTCTTTTCTCTCTACATTCTCTCATTTGGTGACCTTATCAGCTTTAATATGTTCAATTACTGTCTCTATGCTGATGACTCTCTTTCTGTCTCTGTCTCTGTCTCTCGCTCTTTTTCTTTCTCTTTTTCACCTTGGTCTATCTTCTGAGTTCCATGTATACACCAATGGCCTATTGAACATTTTAAATTGTATATCCCATAGTCATCTCAAACTCAACACGTCCAAAACAAAGCTCATTATTTTCTCTCAGTATCATACCACTTCCAAACTTCCCTAAAACTGTTGAGACACCACTGTCCTCCTAGTTACCTAGGTTTGTAACATTGATGTTGTCCTCTACTCTCACTCACTCCCCATAGTTACATATTGAGGCATCTGGAGTCCGTAAGACTTGAGTTCAAATCAGGCCTCAGACATTTACTAGCTGTGTGACCCTGGGCAATTCACTTAACCTCTTTTTGCCTCAGTTTCTTTAACTGTAGAATAAGACTACCTATAGCACCTGTCTCACAAGGTCGTTGTGAAGATCAAATGAGATTATATTTATAAAGAACTTAACACAGTGCCTGGCATGTAATAGGCACGATATAAATGTTAGTTATTATTATTGTTAATCATTACCACTCAGGTATAAAATCTCAGTTATCAAAGGTTATTTCTGTCCCCATAGAACATCTTGTAGATGTCTCTTCCTTACCACTTACATAGCCACCGCTCTAGTTTAGACCTTTATCACTTCTTGCCCTCTTTCCCCCTTTCTTATATCTTTATCCACCCTTCCTCCATCTTATCTTACTTTCTATTGCTTCTTTTTTCTCACCCTTATCTTTCTACTAGTCTCAACCAGGAACATTACTTAGCTCTGTTAGTGGTACTTAAGACTAAGAGGATTGATAATGCCTGCAGTAAATCATGTTCATCTTAATTGATCTTAAGCATACATTAGATAGGAGTATTATTTAACAAATGAGTACAATAAATTCTCAGTAAATTCTAATATTTCCTTTTGTTCTGTACTATTTTTTTTGTTCCAGAACACAAAAATCACAGAACAACAGAGTTAAATGGGATATTAGAGATCATCTATTCTACACCATACTAATACAGGAATCATTACTACTACAATGTTCTAGACCAGTAGGCATCTTGCCTCAAACTGAAGACCTTCAATGATGGAGAACCTAGAACTTTATAAGGCAAACTCTTTCACTTTTAGACAGCTCTAAATATTAGAAAAATTTTCTCTGCATTGAATCTATAGTTGCCTTGCTACAACATCTGCTCATTGTTCCTCTTGGGCCAAGAAGAATAATTCAGATTCTCTTTCTATGTAATAGATTTTCAAACAGTTATCATATTACCTCCTGCTTTCAAGTCCTTTTTTCTCTACGTAAAACACTTGTAGTTCTTGTAACTGATTCATATAAAGCATGGTTTCCAATTTCTGTACTCTTTTTTTTTTGTTCTGTTCAAGGTCCTGCTTCATAATAAATGGCTCCCATAATTGAACACAATATAGTAGATGTGGTCTGACCATGGCAAAGTGCACTAACACCAATATCTTGCTCATTCAAGGTATTATATCTCTCAATGCAGTCTAAGAAATTTCTATAAGCCAGAGCCCACCTGAATTTGTAGTATCTTTTTATACACTAGACCTCTCCACTTTAACAGATTCAAGTTGCACATTCTTTTTGACTGCCATATCATACATATGTATATCAAGGATCCTTGAAATATGTAGCAATAGAGATAACTTTATTACAAGACCCTAATTATCACATACAATTTGTACTATTCTTACGATAGCAAGAGAGGAATAAAACAATGAGACAGGAGCTAGCCAAAAGTATTTGCCACTTTGGAGGATGTCCAGTGTAGAGTCCAAATGGAAGAGGAATTCCTTCTAGATAAGTACCTGTTTACAGCTGATGTCATAATTGCATCAAGTTCAGAATCACTATGTAACCTATTAAATGAAATTTATTATTAGGTAGAAACAGTTTGGCCTAATTAAATACATATACACATATACATACACATACACATACATATACATATACATATATATGTGTATATACACACACATATATAGAAGATAGCCATCACATATTATATATACACATATACACATACATATGTGTACATACATACATACATACATCCTTCATGGTAACTCTGTTTATTTGAAAGAAAATGAGTTCCAGAGCAATGAGATTATATAGAAACTTTCTGATAATTGAAGAAAGTGAAGTTTTAGATTTATCATTTAGATTACCCATATTCATTACCTAAATACTTTGGTCACTTACCAGCTCTTTGCTTTTTTTTTTCTTTTCCAACAATACAGCATCTTGGAATGATGCAAATAGAAATAACTATTTAAGTTTTCCCTTGGATTCTTTTTCATTGATAGTTTACACCCCTACAGTTTTGTTTCTTCAAGTAAATTGAAAAGGAGGATCAAAGAACACATTCAGGTAATTTTTTTGAAAAGCTTATGGATATGAAGAATCTGAGCTGTTAAGCTACAGGATGCAAATTTGTTGGCAAATAATGCAGCTGGTACCCTTGCACTAACTTCACTGCATTTTATTTTGTCTGTGGAGCCGTGGGCTGGGCTGACACTAGGAAAATTTGTGAAGTAGGTGAATTTCATCTCTTTTCCCCCTCACCTTCTTCTGTGTCTGTTTTCCTACCTTTCACTTTCTTTCCTCCACCCCTTAAACATCTAGTGCTATGACTTCCAGATCTCTCATCTTTATAAGAAAGTGATCCTGATTAGTCATTAACACTATAATGTTAATTCAACTCATTAAAAATACTTTAAAGTATACGGCTATGTCAAAGTTTATAAAGTAGAATATTTTAAAGTTCTAATCCCGATAAGGAATATATATGTTACTTATATATCATATATGTATGTATATATGCATGCATAAAATCTAGTTCCTCGTATTTCTCCTGGAAGATTTGAATTTTAAAGAAAAAAAAGAAACCTCCAAGAGTGAATCTCTAATTGTGCTATTTGAAATACTGTGCCTGAGAATGACTCTAGTCATACTCTTGGAGTGTGTAAGTGAAGTTTTTGTTTTTGTTTTTAAGTGCATTCACCACTCTTTGTTTTATGAAGTTGTAAAAATCAAATAATTCATCACGAAATGGACTGCCTCTTGATTATGACTTTATCCACTTTTAGCTAAGATGGTCCTCAGAAAACAAAGGGTTTAAAATATTTTTAAGGGGGGTTGTACTCAGTAGAATCTGCCAGAGCTCATGCTCCATTTCAGAATCTAATTCCACCTTGAGATGAGGCTTAAAGGTAGGACTTTGTATGGTTCAGAAAAGATGGCATTATCAAAGATGTATTCGCTTGAAAAAGATGGGTTGCTCAAGAAGTAAGTGTGATAGATAATTGAATATGAGTCTGTGAACTCCACTGGTATTCTTGAGATGTTAAGAAAATATGGGGAAAGCATCAAGGCATATTGGGTGATTCTCCTGTGGTGAAATTAGAGGAGGATTTGGACAGAGTTACATAGGATGAGGAGGCATGAATGGGTTACTATTTGCATTGCTGAGGGAAATACACAATCATTGAGATCATGGATCCACTGACATAACTAAATTTGCCATTCCTGGGAAAATATGCTACTTAATTTCTCCTCTGAGTTCTCATATATCCTTTTAGACCTATTTTGAATGTTTACATAGGAATGTACATAAAATGTAAATATACATGTATAATGTACATGTAAATATACATGTCTGTTTCTATTTTTATGCCTAAAGATCACATAAGAAAATATTTCTAAAGCACTTAGCACAATGTCTGGTACATAATAGGTGCTTAATAAATGCTTATTCCCTTCCCTTCCCATCCTTTCTCCAAAAATGCTGTGACTAACTGTCCTGCATGATTATTTAGTTGTGAACATCCTTAGAATACAGTTCCATGTCCTTTTTATGCACTTATTATGCATGAAACCAATCTTTTTTGGTTTGTTTGAGGCTACTGATAGACCTGTGGTGGTACATCACTCAGGCTGTACTTCTGTTTAAAATGCGTCATTCTATTTCTCAGCACTGGCTCTTCCATTTGCTACTGTTTCTGAGCTGTCCACAACTATGCTGGATCATTTGAAGTTGTACTGAAGTACAATTTGCGTTTCTTTTGACCACCCTGCTTCCTTCTGTCCCAATTGAATTCCCAATATAGCAGCTGCCTGTGTATCCTACTGTATGGCATGATGAAGTAAATTGGAGTTCTAAAAACAGATGTACTGAAGTGCTTCAAGAAGAAGTAAGTATGGCCAAAAATAACAATGCTTTACAGATGAATCTAGTTACCCAGCCACGATCATTACTAGAGCATTGTATCCTGTTTTCAGTTTTATACTGAAAAAAGGAAAAGTTATAGAAAATATGGGAAGGAGTAATGAAACAAGATAAAAGATATGAAAGAGGAACTATAATAATACACATTTATAGAGCAACTTAAAGTTTACAAAATGCTTTCCTAAAAACAACCTGTGTTGTACATAATAAGAAAGTGATGATTATTTTTTTTTCCTGTTCTTCCCCTGCTAAACCAATCCATCGTTAAAGTCCTTATTTCTGTCAAAGTTACCACCATCCTTGCAGTCATTCCGCTTTGCTAACTAGGAATCATTCTCAATTCTTCACTATTCCTCATTTTCTATACTCAGTCATTTACCAAGTCTTGTCAATTTTACCTCTAAAACATCTATTGCACCACTTCCTTTCTGTCTATTTACATGGCTAGCACGTTAGTTGCTTAGACCCTCAAGGCCTCTTCCCTAGATTATTGTCTCTTAATTGGAGTTCTGGCTTCCAGTCTCTTTTCTCTTCAGTCTATCCTCTGCGCAGTAACAACAACAACAACAACAACAACAACAACAGCCAGCAACAAAGCCTTCCTAATCACAGGTATGAAAGGTTTATACTTAATGCTTTTTTGAATGAAATTTAGCCATCATCTTAAAAATAAGTTAACTGAGGTTTAGGTAGGTTTCAGTGACTTGTCCATGTTTTCCTAAGGTAATGAGTAACAGGTTAATAGATTCACACATTTTTTGTTGTTGGACCAGACCTCAGCAACCATCTAGTCCAACCCATACCTTAAAAGGAATCCCAATTACAACATATTTGACAAGTGCTTAAAGATATCCAATGAAGGAGAAGCCATCATCTCCTGAGACAGCCTATTCCTACTTGGGAGATTTTCTTTCTATAAAACTTAAATTTATCTCTTTGAAACTTCTAACCTTTGCTCTGACTTAATATTCCAGCAAATCTGGAAAATTCCACAGTGGCCACTGAACTGAAAAGATCAGTTTACATCCCAATCCTAAAGAAGGGCAATGCCAAAGAATATTCAAATTACCAAACAATTGTGCTCCCTTCACATACCAGCAAGGTTGTGCTTAAGATTCTGCAAGCTAGGCTTCAGCAATATTTGAACCAAGAATTATTAAAAGTGCGGGCTAGTTTTTGAAGAGGCAGAGGAACTAGAGACCAAATTACCAACATTTACTGAATTATGGAGTAAGCTAGAGAGTTTCAGGAAAAGAAAAACACAGCATCTGCTTCTGCTTCATTGACAACACTAAAGTTGTCTGTAGATCACAACAAAAAGTGTCAAGTTCTCAAACAGATGGGAGTGTCAGATCATCTTACTTGTCTCCTGAGGGACCTGTGTGCAAGTTAAGAATTAACAGAACCAAACATGGAACAACTGATTGGTTTAAGATGGGAAAAAGAGTAAGATAGGCTATATATTGCCACTTTATTTATTGAACTCATATGTAAAGTACATCATGCAAAATGCCAAGATGGAATTAAGGTTGCCAGGTGAAATATCAACAATCTCAGATGTGCAGATGATATCACTCAGAAAGTGAAGAAGAATTAAGAAACCTTTTGATGTAAGTGAAAGAAGAGTGTAAAAGCTGGCTTGAAGCTTAACATAAAAAAAAACCCCTAAGATCTTGGCAAATGGTCTCATCGCTTCCTGGCAAACAGAAGAAGAAATAGAAGCATTGTCAGATTACATATTTTTAGGCTTAAAATCACTGCAGATGGTGACAGTAAGCCATGAAAGTAAAAGACACTTGCTCCTTGGAAGGAAAGCTATAGCAAATTTGGACAGCATATTCAGAAACACCTTGCCAACAAAGGTCTGTATGATCAAAGCTATGGTTTTTCCAGTAGCAATGCATGATTGAGAGAGTTGGACTATAAAGAAAGCTGAGTGCTGCAAAATTGATGCTTTTGAATTGTGGTGTTGGAGAAAACTTTTGAGAATCCCTTGGACAACAAGGAGATCAAATCAGTCAATACTTAAAGAAATTAATTCAGACTATTCATTGGAAAGACAAATACTGAAACTGAAGCTTAAATACTTTGGCCACATAATGTGAAGATAGGATTCATTGCAAAAGACCCTGGTGCTGGGAGAGATTGAAGGTAAAAGGAGAATGGGACAGCAGAAGATAAGATGGATAGATAGTGTCATGGAAGCAATGAACATCAGCTTGGAAAGACTTTGAAAGATAGTAGAGGATAGAAGGGTCTGGTGTACTATGGTCTATGGGATCATGAAGAGTCAGACACAACTGAACAACTGAATGATAAAAACCCCTTGTTCCTAATTCTGCCCTCTGAGATAAAACAGAAGAAATCTAATCCCCTTTTCACATGACAATCCTTCAAGTACTTGATGACAGCTATCATATCTCCACTGAATTTTCTTTTCTTCAGACTAAACATCCCTAGTACCTTCAATAGATACTCACATGACATGGACTCAAAGTACTTCACCATTCTGGTTGTCGTTCTCTGGAAACCTAATAATTTATTGATGTCCTTCCTAGATTGTAGTGCACACAATTGAACACAATACTTAACCTGTGGTCTGATGAGGGCAGAGTCCATTGGATTATGACCTCATTATTTTTGGAAACTGTCTTCAAAGAAGCCCAAGAACAGATTTGGTTTTTTTTTTTTCTTTCACATTATGTTTCTGACTCATCTTGAGTTGGTAGTGTACTAAAACCCCCATTTTTTTTGGACAAACTACTGTCTAACTGCCCCCATCTTGTAACTTGTCACATCGATTTAAAAAAAAATCTATGTAAAACTTAACATAGATCTTCATTAAATTTCACCATATTAGATTCATCTGAAAGGTTCAACCTGTCAAGATCTTATTGGATTCTGACTTATCCTATATATTAGTTATCATCTTCAGCTTTGTGTAATCTGCAAATTTGATAAGTATGCCTTCTATATCTATAGTCAAATCATTGAAAAAAGTTAAAAAGCCAAACAAAGATTTCTGGGCACCTCTAATGAAGATACCAGCCAAGTTGAAAAAAAAATTCTCAATTCTGAATCTATCTAATTGTACTATCCTCTGTCCATATCTCTCTATCTTTTTCACGAGGACATGTGACAATGTGTCAAATGTTTTGTTAAAATCAAGGTAAACTATATCTATGATGTTCCCCTGATTTGCCAGGTTAGTAACTCAGAAAAAAAGTGTTATAAGATTAGTCAGGTGTGAATATTCTTTTTTATTATTCTTTTTTAAAAATTATCAAGCATTTCTTTGTTCTTTTCTCCCTGGCTTGACCTATTCTTGATGAAGCCATGATGACTTTTGTAATGACTGTTTCCTTTTCTAGATTCACTAATCATCCCTTGAAAATACATCCTAGAATTTTCCCAGGAATTAAAATCAAACTCATTGGCTTATAGTTTGTAGATTCTACTCTTTTTTATTTTTTGGAAACTAGGATATCTTTGCCTCTGCCCATCCAGTAGTGCCTCTGTCATTCTTCACAGCCACACAAATATCACAAACAATGGCTCAAAATTTTTATCTATCTATCTATCAGATTTTTCTGTACCTGAGAATGGAATTCATCTGGGCCAAGTGTAATAATAATTATCAAGGGCAGCTAAGTGCTCACTTACTGTTGCACGGACTGTTTCTTAAGCCTTTCCAGCATGATAGTACTTGTTGGTGTTAGAGCCAGGGTTTGAACCTACGTCTCCTGACCAATTCCATTATATAACATTGTGGAAGTTTAAGGATCTGAGATTCTTTAGAAAAAAAGAAAAGAAAATGTAGAGTTAAATTTTGAAATAGTCCTTAGGTATTTGGAGAACTGTTGATTGATCATAGAATGTTGACTAGGTATTTTGTATCTCCTTTAAAAGTAAAAAAAAAGAGATATGGAATCAAATTGTGTAGGAAGAGATTAGTTACAAAGATGGCATAAACAACTGGAGAAAAGGGGGTAGAAGAAATAGATAAGCTTTTTTACCCCCTACTCTACATATCTGAAATAAAATCAACAGATATTTATCAACATCTCTGTTGATCTAGTCGCTGCGGGGGAAACAAAGGAGAGTAAAACACATTCCCTTTATTTAAAGACCTTGTAGTCCATATAGTGAGATGATATAAATTTGTATAAAGTCATATAATAATAAAGAAAGAACCACAGACAACAATAGAAAGACTATAACATAGAAAAAAATGATTGGTAAAACGACCAATAAAGTTAATAAGTGCTCTAGGAGTTTAGGAAGGGAGAGAAACTGTCAAAAGAGCTCAAAAATGTTGGGGGACAGCTTTAACTTTGTCTGGTACCCATGTCTAGATGGACATATATCTTCTTATTGTTTTTGCTTCTGTATACATTTTTGATTAGGGTCTTTGTTTACTCTTTCTGCATGTTTACATGTTATCTTTTATAATATATTCTCCAGTACTTCCTCCGTCTTGCCATTTTTCTGCCTGTGCTGATTTGTTACTATCCTGGAAAATCTTCAGATTTTCACATTTCCATGACCTCTGAATTTCAAGTCATTTTACTGGCTAATATTGCCTAAATCCACACATACATATAGATTTGTTTTCTCAACCTAAGACTTCTTTCACTTTCCCTATCTCCTTTCCCTTCAATCCTTTCCCTCAGTTACTTAATTCTATTGTTGCATTCACAGACATTCTAGTTCCTTGCTACTGCAAACCAAAACCAAAATTCAACAACGATTCTGCTTGTATGATACTACTCTCTTCTTTGGAGAAATCCTACTTTCTCCCATTCTCTCTTCACTCACTGAGAGAATTAGTTTTTGTCTTACTCTCCAATGCCATCTTCAGATCAATGAAATGCCACCCATCTTTTAGCTTTTTATTTGGAACTTATGCCACCTCTTTCTTTTATTCACAATATCAACTTGTATGTAGCCTTTTCTACTGATGTA